CCGTGTTTTACAAAAGTTATGTCCACATTACCGCAAAAAGTAACATGTTGTAGATAAACCAAAATGCAAAATCTCTAAGTAAAATCTTGTACTTTCAAGCCTGGAAACAAATTCAGGCATTGAAACAGGAAAAACATACTCTCAAGGGGGAATGGGGGACATATCCACCACTTATGTTCCCCCTAGGATTTTATACTCAGGAAAGGCATTTTTTTTAAAAAAGGAAGTGACTTGGAAGTTAACTTTCTGGGTTAATTCCTGGTGTTTTAAAAAAAATCCTTCTGTGTGTGTGTGTGTGTGTGTGCGCGTGTGTGCGTGTGCACACATGCCTTCAAATCACCTGTCGACTTATTGCAACCCCATGAATTTCATAGGGTTTTCTTAGGCAAGGAATAATCAGAGGTGGCTTTGCCAGTTCCTTCCCTGAAATCTACCTTTTAAGCAACTGGCATTCACTGGCTGTTTCCTATCCAAGTACTAACCAGGGCTGACCCTACTTAGCTTCCAAGATCAGACAGGATTTGGTGTCTTTAGGGTATTTATCTAAAAAACAAAATGGCACAAATACATCCACATCCTCTAGAGGACATTCAGGAGCACTGGGGAGCAAAATAAATAAAATAAAATAAAATAAAATAAAATAATTTTGCCCTCCAATATCTCCAGGAGGAAACGTGGCCCCCCAACAGTTGCCCAACCCTGCTTTACTGCCTATGTTTTGCCTTTCTATTGCCTTTCTTCATTCAGCATATAGCTAATGGAGTTTCATCTACACATACTTGTGATAACACCACAAAGCAAAATGTAGATGTTTTGACCACACCGGCATGACTTTCTTTCCTCTGCATGCTATTCTACCACCTTTGTCTGAGGAAGAAGCTTGTGAATTTTGACAGCTAACATTAAGTATTGTCTGCCTTTTGGTTGGACCAATAAAAGGATCGCCACCAGATGGCTTTTGATTTTTCTGTTTATGGCCAACACAGTCACCCCTACAACTTTTCTATGTTATTGGTAATATTATGTATAATGTGTTACTTCTACGCTCCGAGACACATCCATAATTTTGTCCAAGAGCATAGCATTTGAAGTTTTGGCCCAACATTCATACATGTAATGAGCATAATAAAGTAGGGCAACCGGATTACCAGTAAATATTAATATGAAGTTGAAAAATCACAGTAGACTACAGCTGCAGGGTTACCATCACTTAGGACTTTCTCTGAGGTAAAACAGAAGCACACAACAGCAGAGCCACAACAGCCGTCGATACAAATGCTCTCCCCAAACTAGGCAAAAACCAAGGAAGAACTTACACAGCAGCAGGCAGTGACTGTGATCTGGATGGTGTTCCTGCCAGGTTGGCACACCTGCTTTAGGTAGAGGGGCTTGTGGGATGTCTTGTTGTCTCCCCGCTCAATGGTCAGAGGTGTGGCATTCACGCTGACCTGAACTGAGGCTGGCCAGTTAGTATTCATTTGCCGATCCTCATGGTGGTAACATTTAAACTGCAGCTCCAAGTCAGGCCTAGGAAAAATGGAGAAACAATTGAGTGCCTTTAAAAAATAAAATAAATAAATCAGTTCCTTAGAAAGCCAAGACTCCATCAGGAACAAGTATAAGAAGCTGAGAAGCCAGATTATGGAAATGGCTAACAAGGAAAAGCAAGAATCTTTCCTGGTGCTCAAAACTTTTGGCAAATTCTTCTTTTTTTTTAAATAAAGGATATTCTCTTAAAGAATGCCAGAATTGGGTTATTCAACTTCTCCAAGTGGGAAAAAGTGGGAGAATGGGTTTTCCAAAGTTAAGATGCTGGAAGCTAATGAACTGAATATCTGCCAAACACGTCTGAGCCTGCAACAAGAGTAACTGTGGGGACTCACACACAAGCAGCCCTGCTAGCCATGTTGTAACTAGGGATGTGAACATTACTTAATTTCATTATTGTTGTGTTTCACTGCGTCCCAGTTCGATATCAGATTGCAATACTTTTTCCTTCCTGCCCAGAAATGGCATATTTTTGTGTATAAAAACGCTGAGTGCACATTTATTTAAGTATGCATTCCCCAATTAACTAAAAGATCATGTTTGTGTATTTTTCACTGGTATACATTTTTAGCTATTCACGTTTTTAAAAGATATGCATGATTCTGTATGCATCTTCTTTCTTTGAAGCACACCATAAATTTTGCAAATGGGATTTCTAAGGCCAGGTAAGTTTTATGATGGGTGTCAGGAAGTACAAAATGAATACTTTTGCTGAGACTTCTAAACCCAGCGATTTTCCCTCATTCTACTGTAACTTGCAGAGGCTATTACTGCAACAAAGGAGCATATAATTCAAACACACATGTAACTGCAACCAAACTGGAAGCAGCCAACTATGGGCTGACATTTCCTCTTCCATTGGCTCCCTGTTTTTTCACCTTTCCCAATTGAGAAAACAATTCCACCATCTCTGTTCTTTCCTCCTGATCATGTTTCCTACCTTTGCCCTCCAGTGCTTTCAATTCTTGGTTTCTGACAATCTGAGAGTAACTCATTTTAATTTATTGCCAGACCTGTCCTGGAGGCTTAAAATAGATGCTAATATGTTTTAAAGACAACAAACTGTCAGAAATTAAAGCAATCCAAGGAAAAGCCCCCCCCCCAAACATGTTTGCCTGAAGATGTCTTCCAATGTTTCAGGAATAAGGATAAAGAGCTAATGTATGGGAAACTTCTCACAAGACAGATTTTCTCCAATGACATGAAGTGGTTTCAAAGAATACAGGGTCCATGGATAGTGTCCTTATAAGCAAAGCTTGGCATGGTTCACATTTTGAACTACAACTCTCAGAATTCTTCAGAAGGTTCAGGAACTGTAGTCCAAAAAATTAACTAGAGTCTTAAGGAATGTGATCGGGCATAAAGAGGTAAGCAAAGTTGTTTATAGTGT